CACTAGGTTTAAAGTTAATATACCCGTTGTGTGTTCTCTTTTAAGAAAAACCTGAGTATTCAGATGCTGATTTCACCTATGGTAAGAATGTCTGATGCTTAATTATACCCCTTTAAATTAAAATGACAGGACTGTGAAATGATCATAAACTCATTTGAAAATGTGTATTTTGTGAGTGTGAATGTTGGACATTTTATTGCGTCTTATTTTACATATCTCAAACTAAGTAACAGTCCTGCTCTCAACAGCCAGTAAACAGAAGCTAAAGTTGTGCTTTACAACTATTAATGCAACGTGGTTTTTTTTTTTACTTTTGTGGATATCTTGTTTGTAACTATCTGTGTGTGCGCTTATGCCAGATTATGAGTTAATCAGAAGAGGTGGGCTGATCTTTGCAGCTGTTTTGTTCTGTTTGGGCATGGCTATCATATTCGGTGAGTATGTCTAGGTTCATGCAATCTACAGCATGTCATTTCTGCATACATTATAATAAAAATACAAGCAAACACAGGAATACACGCACACATCGTTTTTTCCTTGTATAATCAAACGTTATCTTCTTTTCTGGCAGGCAAAAAGCTCAACTGTGGAAACAAGGCGTCTTCTAAGTAAGGCACATAAAATATTTATACAATAAAAGATACAATAAAAGACACACACACATTCTCCCTCTCTTACCTCTTGGTGTGTCTTCTCTATAGGCTTGAAGACAATGGTGATCTTTGACCTCTCCTTCATTAACCTTCACTGTGAGCATGCATATGCATTATCATACATGGTTACATTTTTGGCAAGCATATGCCTAGCAAGCATTACATCATGTTTTAAAAAATAAGTGTCATGACTTTCTGTCAAAAAGAAAGCTTTTTTAAATGACTTTTAAAAGGTCATGGTCTTTCTTACTTCATTATTTCAGAAACCCTGAATGCATTACAGATTCGCAACACATGAAAGTATATTAACAGAATGTTGATGGAAAAGATCCCCATTTATTCAATAACCAAATTCCAGTTCTCTTGCTCCGTTTTCTGCAGGTAAACGGACACCTCAGTAAATTCACCAAGGATGACCATTTTTTCAACGTACAGTGAAGATTTTTTTTCAGATAGTTAATTCATAAGATCTATGTATACTGTCACAATAAAATAAAACTCAAATGATCCTTTCTGTGAAATCTACTACAATTTTAAAGAACACTGTAGTGTGAAATAGTAGGCTATACGTCAAAATCTTGATAACTAAAAGCGAGATTTGACAATGAGCAGTTATTCACATGGTTTCAGAGCACGTGTTACACTCAGACGCATTATATTTTAAGATATTGCTTCACACAGTTATTTTTAGAACTGTATATACGATCACAATCATCTGCAACAACATAGTCTTTGAAAGGATGCTGCTTCGCCTTTAGGTCGGGCCTGCGTCCGCGCGCGCTAGAGCTCGGCTCTTGTAATTGGCTCAGCGCTGTGCTGTTTTCCATGCGCCACTGGGCGAGTCTCGGCTGTCTCAGTAACCCCCTTTTATCCTCAAAAAAGGAGAGCGAAAGAGGGCAGGCTCGGGCGTAGGGACCGCCATTATTGGGAGGCTTGGACAACCACTTTCACCCTCACGCACAATATATATATATCGTAACGTTTAAAGACATGCGTGGGCCAGATTGCTCGTGATTTGGCTACGAAAAACTGGATGTTTTGTCTCAGTGTAAAGGCATCGCTGCATGCGGTAAATCAGCATTTTATGGCCACAACAAAGGGCATCATAACAGATCAAAACCAACGTGCTTAGGCCGGAGGAAGAAATTAAAACAAGCCTTTTTCTGCACGGAAACGACTGGCCTCCGAGAAAGGACATTCTTTGTTTGGATATGTTTAGCCGTCGGTGGATTTTCACAGCCGTTTCTATGCGAACGCGAGATCAGTAAGTTGCGCCTGACAAAAATATCCCTTGGAAACTGCAAGTCTGTCAAGCCACAATCAAACTGCCCCCACGGAATTTAATGTCCTCGGCTTTTTACGTAGTCTTTTGTTTTCCTTTCTTTATGGTTTCCAACAACACTGACCGAGCCGGTTGTAAGCCCTCTTGTGCTGGCCTGGAAGAGGGGTTGAGAAGGGAAAGGGAGGACGGAGAAAGACACTGGTATGTATGTGTATTAACCCCGGTGTTTCATTAAAACAAGTATTAGCGAGCAAAGTAGACCGTGTCACCTACGTGACAGATTTCAGGCGTTTAAGAAGCCTATACATCGAATATCTTTAAATAAGGAGTGGAGTACCTAGTAGCTACAGAAGGAAAATTGTATCTACAAATACAAGTGAGTAACGTTACTGTCTATTGTGCAGGCAGCGCCTTGGTTGCACTGAAAACGGATTTATCTTGCACTCTAATAATCTCAGAATGTTATAAATTGGCAGACTATTTTCTCACGTGATGTGCACCTAGTTAGTCGCTATGTAACGCTGCATTGTAGAATACACCAACGTAGATGAGTCGCGCTAATTTATTATAACTGCATACTCTGATTTAAATACGTGAGGAAAATGTCAAGAGTGTGTAATTTCTCTTGCAGCAGCACAGAGACAGCTGAGCCGCTCATAGGAAGGCAGTTCTGAACCATGACATCCCCATTACGTAGCTTTCTTGCTTAGGCTATGCTGGGCCTAGGCTTTGGGAGTGAAATACTTTAGCAGTTGCTTTTTTTAGGGTTCAGAACTTCACATGTGTATTTTGCTTGAAGAGTGTGCGTAGGATGTCTTTATTTTGCCATGCACATACAACCACAACCGTGCTTGATGTATATTCAAGCCATATATTTCTCAGTGTATAACAACTCAGTAGGCTACAGCAAGTACAGGGAAGTCAGAACATCAGGTTGTGTCTTGGTTTGTGTTGAAGGTAAGTCTAAACAGCTGGTAGACTCAGATATCTGAGTCGTTAGCACCCACTTGGACTGCACCTGACCCGACTGTGGATCGCCTACTTTGAGCTCTGTAGCCAGACAGAGTCTGTATTTGTGTTTTTAAGTCTACAACACCAGATATTGCATGAGGATTCACCAGCAACACATTTCCTTCATGTGGTACTGTACCACTAAAAGTAAGCAGGAGTAATACATCGTCCAGGAATAGCTGTAGAAAACGCTAAATGTTTAACGCAAATAACGCAAAAATTTTGTTATTTATTGTATTTGGTACAGCACTAATTAAGTGATGAATAAAGATTTTTTTAATACTGTATTATGCATTCATAACAATACAACAATGTAAATAATGTATGTGCCTTTGTTTTGCTGCAAAGTGCAAGAATTGTCAAAGTAATCTTGTTTCTATTATTTTTAAATTCTTTTTTTCAGTAAATTAAATAAATGATTACTGATTACATTCTTTAAAAAATGTTAAATGTCACCCATTTAGTTGTCTAAATTACAATATGCATACAGTTAATACTGGTTTACCACAACTGCATACAGTATGTGACAATGCCCTTAGATAACAGTTAATACACCAAAAAATTCTGTGAGAATGTTTTCTTTTGTGGAATACACTAGGTGAATTTAAGAATATTCTGCCCACTCTTTTCAGTATATTGAAAGTGTATGAGGACTGGGGCCGCCAAGCTGCAAAAAAGTAACATGAAAGTAACAACGTAAAACAACTTAAATTCCGGTCTGTTTTTCAAATAATGGCTTTAGAAGACATGGAATAGCCCATCACATCAGCCACTTATGGTGCTTTTTTGTCCTTTCTGAAGCTTGAAAGCTCCAGTCCACATTCATTGTAATTGGATGGAAAACAGCAATCAACTACATTATTTAAAATTTTCCCCTTTGCATTTCACGGATAAAAGACAGCCATATGGGTTTGGAATGACATATAAGTGAGAAAATGACAGAATTGTGGGTGTGCTATTGTGTTTGAAATAATACAAAGATGGTTAAAGAAAGAAATCAATAAATGCTGTTAATATTCTATTCACAAGTTCTTATTTGTTTATATGTGCTTGCTGTTAGATCATGCTCATAAAATACTTTGAAAATGT